AAGAAAATCAATGTCCATTCAAAACATGTTACTTTAGCTTTCGACAATGTTTGGGTTCTTTGCGTTGAAGCCTAACGAGCAAAAGCTACAAAAGCGCATGCCAAAAGCATGATGGCGCTGACTATTGGTACTTTGGCTCCATTTTCGGCTTCATTGTCGTCTCCATTGCACAGGTCACCTTTACAGCAGTTGACTTCGCATTTGGTGATTTTCGTCGAGGCGTCGGTCGCTCTGCAGTTCAATGGGCCCAGGCTGCATAGTGATGAAGGGGCGCATCCTTTGACAAAGAGTTTAACTGTCTTTTGCGGGCTCTCAGATTTTCCTTCTTGTGTGACACAACGATCAAAGTCGTCCATACAGGTTATCTCTTTTGTCGTGTTTTTGCAGTCATCCCAGCTTTCCGCAGAAAAACATAGGTTGCATTTCAGGGAATAAGCTTGAAAATATAAACAAATATTAAAAAAAAAAAACTAACAGTGATTAGATTTAAAAACAATTATCAGCAAGCAGTGCAGTGACTTGTGCTTATCTGTGATTCTAGGAGACTTGGACCAAACCTGCCGATCTTATTCTTCATCTATGAAAGTGTCTTTACTATATGCCTTGCTTCGCGGGCACTGAGGCAAGATTAGTGCAAGATGAAGCTTATCATGTGTTCTAGTTGCCTACCCGAGCGACCAAGATAAGCCTATCTTGCCCGCTCGGGATTTTCCGCTATGTCACCGCAGGTAAACATCTTCTATGGCCACATACTAAATCTTTTCTTGATTAAGCTTGTTCGGTCAAGATGGCTGGATATTGGCCCATGTTGGTTTATTGCATTTTAATGCAGACGTAAAAACGCAAAAATAGAACTTGCCCAATATCCAGCCATCTTGTTCGAACAAGCTTGGTCAATAAAGGCTGGTTTTCGCTGAAGCGTAGAGCGTGTTGATCTAGTACAAACAGCGTTCTTATTTCACTTACGACTCTATCCTTCGCTCGCGATTTAGTGAAAACATGCCAGAGGGTTGTCGGAGTCGCAAGCACTAGCAGAAGAACGAAACCGATCAGAAAGCATGGAAACGAGCATAGTGATTGGTATATCCTTCTGCTTCTGCTTCCGACTCTGAAAATCTGGTTTTCTCTAGATCGCAAGCGACGGAGTTATAAGCGGAGTCGAAACAATGGAAATGTTCTGATTCTTCCGACTCCGATTCCGTGTTGCTCTTACGACTCCGCTTACAATTCCTACTACTACTACTACTCTTTGATGAAGAAAATAACGGGAAAGAATAAAAGCTCCGACAGCGTTCCGTCGTTTTCTAACTTCAATACCATCTTAAATTATTCCTAACAAAAACGTTATGTTATTCGCGCCCAAATGGGAAAAACTGAAAGCCACCCAGATCTGTCAGGTCTAATAATGTACTTTCATATTAGACTTCAATTTATCGAACCAAATCGTAACGAGTGAAGAAAGAAAATCGACGATGATGTCTGTCCGACTTATGGTTAAAATGTAATTAAAATTGTGCGCCCACCACTTTATTCAGAGAGAGAAGGTCAAGCACGCCAACAAAGGGAGCCGCGAGTATTTCGGGACAAGATTCCTGCAGCATTGTCCTTACTTTAGTGGAAAGAACTGAAGAGATAGAACCGGACTAAAGTGACTTACCGACTGAAATGCAATGAAGAAAGGCGAGACCGAACAGGGTCTTCATGTTGTTAGCGAGAACACAATTCTGATCACCTCAAAGATGCAGACTGTTATAGAAAGCACGCTTCTCAACCGGCGTTTTACTAAACCACAGACTGAGGATGTCATTCATTACCTACTTTTAAGTACTTGTCAATCCGTTGATTTTAACTCCATGATGACCAATAGAAACTCAGGTTTTTATTTTACTGTCACTTTTATTTGATTAGCATTTGCCAATCATAATTACTTGCTAGCGTCGGTTAGGGACGGACCATTAGAAATATAACCGGAGGTGGGGTGACAATTCCCAAAAAAAATTCCTGCAAGGGAAACTTGTCAAAAAAAAATTCCTGCAGAGGAAGCGACATGCATAGCATTTAAGGTTATTAAAAGTATGGGATAAGGGGGGGAAAGGTAACACAAAACAATGCCTATAGATAAAGAAAATTGAAATTCTTAATTTGTACTTCAGTACTTTTATTTGAAAACAACTGTTTGATATTTCTTCATACCACAAAACATAAATAGTAATGGCTTACTTTCTACACGGTCATCATTACCACTGATATTGCTATCACAAGTATATAGGCTGAGGTCACATCTACGACGTAACTAAAGTTTAACTTAAGTTAGTGTCAAGTTAATTACGTATTGTTATACCTAACTGTAGTTAGTGCTTTCGGTCGACATTGCGGTCACACCACGCAATT